ATTGAAGACAAGCTGCAGCCCTTGGGTGATCGATTTAAAGCCGAGGGTCGGGCCATATCTCCAACATTCAAATTTTGGGATGATTTTCTAACTGAAGTACTCCAACCAATTAAAATCTTAATTAGTTCTACAAGGAACGGTATTTGGAAAGTCTTCCAGGCAATGAAAGTTGAGCTGTTACCTCTTCTGTTTGCCTCAAATGGGAAAAACTATTCTCGCTGTTTGACAGTCAATACATTACTCATGAATCGTCTTCCAGAGGATGTTTCTAAACATTTCTGTGATGGTTAGTTTGCAGCAAAGTTGACTTCTGGTCGTTTTAATTCGGTGTGGATGGATTATACCATTGAGACAACAGAGAACAAAGCCTTTAAAGGTAATGGTGGTATAATTGGTTTGACAATGAAAGGTCCTGCGCTTACTAGGTGGTTTATGGCAAGACCACTAAATCGCAGTACAGTATCAGATTCAGAGATGTCATCAGTCAGTCTGGAGACAAGATCAAGATCTATCATGAAGCTGGGGATGCTTGTCAGAAACGTTGGAATGAAGAACTTTTTGATTCAGCATTCATTGATTCATTTGATATATCAGATGCTCCTGAACATCTAGTAAATATAGCAACAGGTTTTGTGGCTCCAAAATGTATTAAGACCAGTCTTGGTAATGTCCTTGAAACTGGTTTAGCTATGATGAAAAAGTTTGTAAAAGAAAGATTGATTGATACTGATCTTATGAATACGCAACGGAAGAGTTACCTAGGTGGATCTACAGTAAAAACTATGACCGAAATGAAAAAGAAGGTTAAAATTAAGAAATCCTCTGTTATACCGGTATTGGACGGTGAGATAATGTTCTTGCGTCTGCTTGCAGTCAACTCAAGAAAGAAAGTACTCCACTTTCTACAGAAATGTCTTTCGAAAACGCACCAGTGAGTGCCAGTGTCTTTAATTATGTTTACAGATGATGGGAAAATGACGGCATGCGTTAAATCACAATTTGTGGAGTGTCTTGAGGGGGTTTGTCAGTCGGAGAAGATAACGTCTATACATTGTTGTAATGCACTGATATATGATGGGCATGCGGTCATACAGAAATCCACCTTCATGGACAGTGGTACCTACAACCTTTGAAGACATGGCCAAACGGTTTTTTGACTGTTATATTTTTTCTCATAGTCGGCAGTGCAATAATGATCGTCCTGTTACGCAAATACATATAGTATTTGATAGATATCTGGAGGAAAGTATTAAAGGACCGACACGGGAAAAACGAACTGTTGGAATCGTAAGTGCAGTACACCCGGTAAGACCTGAAATCAGAATTCCCTCAAATCGGAAGCAATTTTTAGGAAATGGAGAAAAATAAAGCAAACCTGGATGAATTTTATGCTACTTACATTTCCAATAATAAAGTTCGTTTGCAAAAGGAATAAATTTTACTGATCAGCGGTGGAGGTCGACACAACACTGTAAAAGTCACACATGTATCAGTAACGAATGTTGCAGAGCTCAGGTCAAACCAAAAGGAAGCCGATACCCGTATTGTATTGCATGCTATCTATTCAGTTAGTCAACCAACTGACAAAATAGTTATCTCTAGTCCTGATACAGATGTCCTGGTGCTTCTTATACACCACAGACAATCAAAAGTAGCTGAAAATGTGTACCTTCTGATGGGTAGAGTAGGTAAGCATGCTGGCTTAGTAAGATACATTTCAGTTGATGATATAATTAAGGAATTAACACCTTCACAAAAACGTATTCTTCTTCCAGTGTACTGTCTGACTGGTTGTGACACCACAAGTCATGGAAAGAGGTCAGCTTTTCGACTGCTAAAACAAAGAGCCGGTTCTTATAATGGTCTTGCAATATTGGGTTCCTCAGATCTAACTTCAGATTAATTTAAGCATTGTATGTCTTTTGTGGGTGATATTTATGGTAAAAAAAACTGTTTTTCACTGGACAGTTTGCGTTGTGAAAAGGCTGACAAAAACGTACCTGCCAAAAATCTTCCCCAAACAGAAAACAGTTTCAAACTTCATGTGTTGCGCTGTATCTATCAGTTGAAGATCTGGCGTATTGCAAATGCTGCTATGCATGAGCAAATTGATCCTATTATGTATGGATAATATAGAAGAGATCTTGAAACTGACTGTGACACTGTTATGCCGAGGTTGGTGAGCCAACCTGCAGCAGCACCGGAACTTTTGAACAATTTGATTTGTGAATGTGATGAACATAATTGTTCAGAGAGCTGCACTTGTCTCGAAACTGGACAAGCTTGTACAGCCGCTTGTAATTGTGGGGCATCTGCTGATATCGCGGATGAAATAACCTGTAACAACCCAATGACATTTGAAGCGATGGAATTACTTAGTACTGATAATGACTTTGACATCCGAGTTGAAAAACAAGTATTTGGCAACTTTTACAGATATAATGTTTTGTTAAATTTCATGGCTTTTGATGTTTTTATGTTAATAAAATGATTATGACATTGACCTAATATTACACTATGAATATGAAACCTAGTACATATAAATAGGTATGCAAATTTGATTTATAGTCTTTTTTGACAGAAAGAGCAATTACTAAATTTAGAGTCTGCAGATTAATGCAGGAATTTATTTTTTTTAGTTTAGATTTTCTGAATTTTTTTTAGCAAAAAAATCGTTTAAAAAGTACATAAAAAGAATAGAGATAAAAAAATGTTATTTTACTTAGCTAGCATATTTTAAAACGAACATTTTAATATGCGAATCATGAAATTTGGTCTAAAAAAATTTTTTTATGATGATTTTCCAGTTTTCAGCACTTTTTCATCTAAATTACAGTTTTTGCCCAAAATTTCAGATTGTACACATTTTTTCGATCCGGCAAGACTGGTTTCCATATTCCTGACATCAAAACGAACAATTTGATATATAACAACCTGTGTTGTACTGCCACGTCATTGAACTTATAATTAAGAGCACTTTTTGATGCATAGCTGCTCTATAAATGGGATACGGCGGTCTTGTCTCTTTTTTGTGTGTGGACAAACTCATTAAGGAAGTTAATGTTAACCGGTCTCCCCTATATAATGAATGAAAACATAACCAATTCGATGCACGAATCGTTTTATGACCACCTAAAATGTATACGTAGTGCTAAGAAAAACTTACTGCCCTTGGTATAGACCTTTCTTTAAAAAGTTCGTTAAAGACTTCAATGCAAATTAGTTCTTACATGCAGTTCTGATGAATTGTACTTACAATACTTACTCGCTATGATAGTTTTATAACAAAGGCAATTTCAAGTGTGCCGTGCAGAACGTTTAGATCATCATCATCTTCATTAGTTTATTTAAAAAAAAAAAAAATCTTTTTCTTTACAGGTTTACAATATTTTTCTATCTTATTTAACATCCTTGTCGTGAAACGTAGTTCAATACGGAAATATATCTATCACCAATCATCACAAGGTATGAATTGGATATAGAAATATGGCAAGTCTTAAGATTTCTCATATCTGGCAGTTGCTATTAAATGTGGAGCGTCCGGTTGGAATGCGATTACCAAACTCTCGGTTCGTTATACAACTCTTGCAACAACTTTCTGAGGTGTCCTGATGCAGTGCAACATTAGTGTCCCTGTCTAGGAAACCCCCATAATTACAGTGTCCAATTATGACATAAGGACAAACAAATACTCATGGTTAGCTTGGATGGAAGGATGACTGTTTAACGTCCAGTGACAAATTAAATGCATATTCAGGACGAGAACATGTCGGTGAGATATGAATATGAACCCTGCTTTGTATGAGACCGACACGCGCCGGATTTAAAACGTGTTACTAGTAGTTCATAAGGTAATTGTCCGCAGGAAGACAGGTAACCATACCCGGTCACATTATTCTGACCAGTCTTTGCTCTTACCCCTCAATGTCGGGTGGTTAGCGGAGAAGCAGCAAATACCAATATTTAAGTCTTTGGTTTGACCCGGCCGGGGTTCGAAGAAATCTTCGAATCTACGAGCTCCCGCACTAGAGGCGAACATGCTTTTACAAATATATTTTCTATTATAGCTATATACCATCTCTGCTTAAATTTGTATTCAGTTATATATCTATTAAACTCATAATTTGATTTTCTGCAAGACAAAACAATTCGACTTCCAAATAACATACATGAGGGTCTGGATGGGGGGTTACAGAATAGAGAATAATGGGCAAAAAAAAAATAATTAAAGAATATAGAAAAATGGACCAAAAAAATAAATAGAGAATAATGGGGTGCTAAAATATAAAAAGAGAATAATGGGCAAAAAATACAAATAGAGAAAAATGGCCTAAAATATAAAGAATACAGAAATGAAGGACCCCCCCCCCCCCCCCATCCATATGTATTAAAATAATTAAAATAATGTCAAAATACAAATCCATGTATCGACTTCTTGGATATTCTGAAACTACAACTAAAACATGGTGCCCTTCAAAGAACGAATTTTTGGAAATTCTTAAAGTACACTATCCGGCGGCGTCAACTATTTGTATAAAGCTTTATATTGCAAAAGGTGTTTTAAATTATATTGTTAAGTGATGTATGCTCTAATTTGGTGAAAATATTCTGTTCTATTCATACCTTGTATGCAGATGCCTTATACAACTAAGTTTCCATCAGTGATATGTCCATTGTCCTTTAACTCATTTCCATGGTTCAGCGACTGCCAGAAATACTCAAGTTTTTCATCATGTCAAATACTCACTTATGAGTAATAGGATAACTTCGATTTGGTATATGGAATACTTGCAAGTAGATCTAAGATGTGGTATGAGTGCCAATGAGACAACTCTCCATCCAAGTCACAATTTGTAAAAGTAAACCATTATAGGTCAAAGTACGGCCTTCAACACGGAGCCTATGCTCACACCGAACAGCAAGCTATAAAGGGCCCCAAAAATGACTAGTGTAAAACCATTCAAACAGGAAAACTAACGGTCTAATCTATATAAAAAACGAGAAACGAGAACCACATCAACAAACGACAACCACTGAACATCAGGTTCCTGACTTAGGACAGGTGCAAACAAATGCAGCGGGTTTAAACGTTTTAATAGGCGCCAACCTTCACTCTACCTGAAACAATAGTGTAACATCACAACATAGAAAGACACACTATAAAATATCAATTGAAATGACTTAACTCAATCAAAAGACATATTAACAAAAACAAGTGAACATACACTGAACGAATAAATTTGATCTATGACACAATGTAAATACAGTCTACATGTCCGTCAGAAAGTACACACAACCTCGTTTCATAGATCAGTTATCAAGGTTCAGTTTTCGGTGGCCAATTCTGTATCTCATATAATATAAGCAATAGGTCAACTAAATTCGTACACTAGTGTACTTCTCCAACTGGCAGGTTTCATTCGACCTTGACCTCATTTTTATGGTTTGGTCTGTTTCACTATATTTGGAATGATTGTAATTAAAAGATTTCCATGTTTGACTGCTATGAGCAGTACTCTATTTGGCGAATGTATTGATTGTAAGGTGTACAGATCTATCTGTCATTGACCTAATTCATGATTGTCTAATTCTCGTATACTATAAGCAACAGGACAACTATATTTGGTGTACATGTATGTCTGGCAGGGTCAATCTGATATTAATCTCTTTTTTAATGTTCATTGTTCAACATTCAATTTTCATAACGTTTGTTTCTCAGACACTACAAACAATATAGACTTACTTTATTTGGAACATGGTATGATTGTAAGGTGCACAATGCACATGTCTCTCTAGCAGGGTTCATCTGACCTTGATCACATATAATGTCGAGTTTAAGTGATACTTGTAGTAAAACTCTCATACTGCAGACTGAAAAATTATAACACCAGGGTTTTCGATATCACAAACTAGTCAAAACATTTACTAAATTTTATCATCGGTATAAGGACATCATTCGTAAATGTAACTCAACATGCAGACATCTTATACGTTCGGGTATTTCACATCCAATCTTTTATGGTATTATGGCAATATTCTTTACAAAGCACAAAAATGTCAGTATTCACCTCAAAAGCTAACAAAACCTTTAAACAGACTTATTAAGAAGGGATATAGTTTCGATACTGTTGTCAGGTATGGCAAGCCGTTGTGGAATTTATTCCCTATTTATTAATATTAAAAAATCATTTATTAATATTAAAAAATGATTTTTTAATATTACAATATCATTTTTTAATATTAATAAATCGAATTTTTAATATTAAAAAATACTGTCATTTTTTAATATTAATAAATGAATATTTAATATTAAAAAATCATTTATTAATATTAAAAAATCATTTTTTAATATTAAATATTAAGTCTGATTTTTTAATATTAATAAATGAATTTTTAATATTAAATAATACGCTGATTTTTTAATATTAAAAAATCAACATCAATGTTACCTTAGCGTTTAATATAAGGCAAACCAATCATTTATCTGTCAAACGCTTAAATGATGATTATTATTTATTAATATTAGAAAATGATTTTTTAATATTAAAAAATCAAGCTGAATAATTAATATTAAATATTCATTTTTTAATATTAAAAAATAAGACCATTTATTAATATTAGAAAATGAATTTTTAATATTAAAAAATGATTTATTAATATTAAAAAATGATTTTTTAATATTAATAAATAGGATCTATTTTTTAATATTACAAATTATTTTTTAATATTAATAAATCGAATATTTAATATTAAAAATTGAATATTTAATATTAATAAATAAAACCCATTTATTAATATTAAAAATAAAATGCTTCGCTGGGGCGCAGCTTGATACGACCGCAGAGGTCGAACCCTGAACAGTTGGGGCAAGTATGGACACAACATTCAAGCTTGATACAGCTCTGAATTTGGATTGTTATTAAATATTTGACACAGCATAGGTTTCTGACACAGAAAGAATGTGGTCTAAGAACTTGAATTTTTTTAATTTACCTATTATGGTCCAATGTCCAAAATCAAAATACATGGTTAGATTCAGCATATCAAAGAACCCCATATATTCAATTTTTGTTAAAATCAAACAAAGTTTAATTTTGGACCCCAACTTGGACAAACTTGAAAACTGGGCCCATAATCAAAAATCTAAACACATGTTTAGATTCAGCATATCAAAGAACCCCAAGAATTCAATTTTTGCTAAAATCAAACTAAGTTTAATTTTGGACCTTTTGGACCTTAATGTAGACCAATTTAAAAAACGGGACTTAAAATTAAAAATCTAAATACACGGTTAGATTTGGAATATCAAAGAACCCCAATAATTCAATTTTTGATGAAATCAAACAAAGTTTAATTTTGGACCCTTTTGACCTCAATATAAACCAATTTAATAGCGGGGCCCACAAATAAAAATTCTAAATTCATGGTTAGATTCAGCATATCAAAGAACCCCATATATTCAATTTTTGTTGAAATAAAAAAAAGTTTATTTTTGGACCCCAACTTGGACCAACTTGAAAACTGGGCCCATAATCAAAAATCTAAACACATGTTTAGATTCAGCATATCAAAGAACCCCAAGAATTCAATTTTTGTTAAAATCAAACTAAGTTTAATTTTGGACCCTTTGGACCTCAATGAAGACCAATTTAAAAACCGGGACCCAAATTAAAAATCTAAAAACACGGTTAGATTTGGCATATCAAAGAACCCCAATAATTCAATTTTCGATGAAATCAAACAAAGTTTAATTTTGGACCCTTTTGACCTCAATATGAACCAATTTGATAGCGGGGCCTACAAATAAAAAAATCTAAATACATGGTTAGATACAGCATATCAAAGAACCTCATATATTCAATTTTTGTTGAAATCAAACAAAGTTTAATTTTGGACCCCAATTTGGACCAACTTGAAAACTGGGCCCATAATCAAAAATCTAAATACATGTTTAGATTCAGCATATCAAAGAACCCCACATATTCAATTTTTGTTGAAATCAAACAAAGTTTAAATACTGGACCCTATCTTGGACCAACTTGAAAACTGGGCCCATAATCAAAAATCTAAACACATGTTTAGATTCAGCAAATCAAAGAACCCCAAGAATTCAATTTTTGTTAAAATCAAACTAAGTTTAATTTTGGACCCTTTGGACCTCAATGTAGACCAATTTAAAAAACAGGACCCAAAATTAAAAACCTAAATACACGGTTAGATTTGGAATATCAAAGAACCCCAATAATTCAATTTTAGATGAAATCAAACAAAGTTTAATTTTGGACCCTTTTAACCTCATTATGAACCAATTAGATAACGGGGTCCACAAATAAAAAATCTAAATACATGGTTAGATTCAGCATATCAAAGAACCCCATATATTCAATTTTTGTTGAAATCAAACAAAGTTTAATTTTGGACCCCAATTTGGACCAACTTGAAAACTGGGCCAAAAATCAAAAATCTAAATACATGTTTAGATTCAGCATATCAAAGAACCTCATATATTCAATTTTTGCTAAAATCAAACAAAGTTTAGTTTTGGACCCTTTGGACATTAATGTAGACCAATTTGAAAACTGGACCCAAAATTAAAAATCTAAATACACTGTTAGATTCGGCATAACAAATAAATAAATGTGATCAAAGATTTTACAAATCTAATGCGCCATACTGTGCAATTAAAGATTACTTCTTGAAATTTTTCAATATTTGAAATTTGAAAAAAAAATAATATTTGAAGAATAATTCTTTTTAATTTCTGAAATCTGAAATGAGAAAAAATTGGCCCCCCACAATTTCTTTTTATCCCCCCCCCCCCCCTTTTTCCCCCAAAAAAATTCTTTCCCTCAAGATATGGTCATAATCTCAATTCAAATTTCCAATGGAGATGGCAACCATAATTACCCATTTAAATTTACCATAGTGCTAACTTAATCTATTTTATAATAGAATTAATAAAAATATAGTGTCAAATCTTTCATATGGATTTTTTTGTAAAAAAAAAAGATGAAAACATTTGCAGATATTTTTACTGGTCTTCCTTTATAAATATGCATTTCTTTAAACATAATTTAAAAGCAGTGTAAGGGAAGTAGCCAAAACGTTGTATTTGGATTACCTCCCTTACACTGTTTTAGATTATCTTTATTGTTCATTAACCATTACTTTATACATAATTTAAAAGCAGTGTAAGGGAGATAATTTCAATGATGTATTTGATTTATCTCCCTTACACTGCTTTAAATTATGTTTTGTACTAAAGTATTTGTCCATTAACCAGGACAACCTTGTTTTTCCCCCTTTTTTGCCCCTAATTCCTAAACGGTTTGAGCCATAACCCCCCAAAGCAAATCCTAACCATCCCTTTGTGGTATGGAAACTTGTAGTATAATTTCAGAGAGATCCATACACCGTTCCACAGTTATTGTCTGGAAACTAGAAAATGCTCATTTTTGGCCCCTAATTCCTTAACTGTTGGTACCATAACCCCCAAAATCAATCCCAACCTTCCTTTTGTGGTATTTAACCTTATGGTCAAATTTCAAAAAGATCCATTCACTTAAACTAAAGTTAGAGTGCGAAAACCAATATGTATTCGGACGACGACGCCGGACGACGACGACGACGCCAACGTCATACCAATATACGACCACAAAATTTTTTTGCGGTCGTATAATTACCTATTTATTAATATTAAAAAATCGATTTATTAATATTAAAAAATAATATTTAATATTAATAAATGATTTTTTAATATTAATAAATATGGAATAAATTCCACAACGGCTTGCCATAGTCAGGTCATTAAAGATTGCATATTTTGGCTTTAATATTGATTCATTTATAGGGTCTTTGCATCGGAATTAAACATATTTATTCTAAAAACAAGTTGTTGGCATGACACGGGTTATGTTCTTCTCATATATTTTATGATGGTATAATACTAAACCCCTAACAGGAGGGATTGTGCCTGATATTCATATGATGAAGACATAATCTTTCAATCAGTTTAATTGAGGTCTGGAGCTGGCATGTCAGTAACTGCTAGTAGTCTGTTGTTATCTATGTATTATTGTCATTTTGTTTATTTTCTTTTGTTTCCTATTCTGACATCGGACTTCTCTTAAACTGAGTTTTACTGTGCGTACTGTTGTACGTTTGTTTTTTCTACATTGGCTAGAGGTATAGGTGGAGGGTTGAGATCTCAAAAAACATGTTTAACCCCGCCGCATTTTTGCGCCTGTCCCAAGTCAGGAGCCTCTGGCCTTTGTTAGTCTTGTATATTTTTTAATTTTAGTTTCTTGTGTATAATTTGGAGTTTAGTATGACGTCCATTATCACTGAACTAGTATACATATTTGTTTAGGGGCCAGCTGAAGGACGCCTCCGGGTGCGGGAGTTTCTCGCTGCATTGAAGACCCATTGGTGGCCTTCGGCTGTTGTCTGCTCTATGGTCGGGTTGTTGTCTCTTTGACACATTCCCCATTTCCATTCTCAATTTTATTTCAACATAAATTAAACCATGATAAGTACTGCAGGCGAAACATTTCAGCATGTAAATTCTTGTTATATATATTCATATTGTAATATACTCTTTGAGAGCCCATTTAACGGAAATAAAACATCTTCTATATATATACATGTATAAACCAAATATTATCTTCCAATCAACAGGGATTAAAACCTAATCGACGCCTCTTGATTGCCGTGAAGTAGTTTTACTTCCCAACAAGGGAATATACCTTCTTCAAAATTTAATTTTTTGGATTAAAATTCCATGAATCTGGAAAGGGCTATGCAAACAACTTCCAAGGAAATATTGAAACCACACCAAGAACATAACCTTTCAAGAAAAAATTGTCTAATGGCCTGGCCTTCATTTCTTTTCAGACTTTGCTTACAAGGATCTGACAAAGCTCCCTTCCATTTTCTGTTGATATTTTATTACAACATCAACCAGTGAAATTTCAGCCTTAAATTTTTTGAAAACAAAACCAGGATCATGAAAGGCCTTTAAAAAAGAAACTAGACAGAGCATTGTCAATTTGTCAGATCTTTGTAAGAAAACATGGACACAGGATCTGTATTTCAATCAGAATTCAATATTTCTAGGACTACATAAATAAATTTTGCCATGTTATACAAGTTTAGTTTGTGGTCATTACTTTTATTTGGTCTTACAATGTTGGATTTCTGTAAACATTCTAATACTGTCCATAGCTATGCTTTTTTGAGTATTTTTAACCCGTAGAACTTTACTGTGGTAGGTCCAATAACAAAATAAATTAACAAGAATATAATTGTAGTCAAGAGATTGTCACTTTTTAAGCTTCTTCTCCTTCTCCTTCCTCCTCTTCAAATTCACCTTCTTCCTCAGCAGTGGCATCCTGGTACTGTTGGTATTCTGAGACCAAGTCATTCATGTTGGATTCAGCTTCTGTGAATTCCATTTCATCCATACCTTCACCAGTGTACCAATGCAAGAAAGCCTTTCGTCTGAACATAGCAGTGAACTGTTCTGATATACGTTTGAATAATTCTTGGATGGCTGTGCTGTTGCCAATAAATGTAGCAGACATTTTCAGACCTCTTGGTGGAATGTCACAGACAGCTGTCTTGACATTGTTGGGGATCCATTCAACAAAGTAGCTGCTGTTCTTGTTCTGTACGTTCAACATCTGTTCATCTACTTCCTTCATTGACATACGACCACGGAACATGGCAGCAACTGTGAGATATCTGCCGTGACGTGGATCACAAGCAGCCATCATGTTCTTGGCATCAAACATCTGCTGGGTAAGTTCTGGTACAGTCAAGGCTCTGTACTGCTGGCTTCCACGGGATGTCAATGGGGCAAATCCTGGCATGAAGAAGTGAAGACGTGGGAATGGTACCATGTTGACAGCCAATTTACGGAGATCAGCATTCAATTGACCTGGGAATCTGAGGCAGGTAGTAACTCCAGACATAGTGGCAGAGACGAGATGGTTTAAGTCGCCATATGTTGGAGTGGTGAGTTTCAAAGTACGGAAGCAGATATCGTAAAGAGCTTCATTGTCAATACAGTATGTTTCATCAGTGTTTTCTACCAGCTGATGGACAGAGAGGGTGGCATTGTATGGTTCTACAACAGTGTCTGATACCTAAAAAGATAAAAGAGAAAAAATCATTAGTCACCTGTTCCAATAAAGTTACAATATCAAATCTATGGCATGTTTCCCAAGTCAGATGATAGTGCAGCTCTTTTTTTGTAGGTTTACTGCCGATAGTATCTTACTGAATTACACAACATTACAATGTGCTGTTGAGCCGTTTAGTTTTTAAATCTACATTGTATTCCTTTCATCAAAAAATTCAACAAGGAAAATAACTGAAATCATTTAAATAGAAATATCAAAATCCTCCCTGTAAACTTTTATGTCGGATTTACATTCAAATCATTAATCAAATACTTACTTTGGGTGATGGTACAACTGAAAAGGTGTTCATGATTCTGTCTGGGTATTCTTCTCTGATTTTGGAGATCAAGAGGGTTCCCATACCGGATCCAGTTCCACCTCCCAAAGAATGTGTAAGTTGGAATCCCTGAAGACAGTCACAACTCTCAGCTTCTTTCCTCACAACATCTAATACTGAATCTACTAATTCGGCACCTTCTGTATAATGTCCCTTAGCCCAGTTGTTGCCTGCACCTGATTGTCCGAACACAAAATTGTCTGGCCTAAAAATTTGTCCAAATGGACCAGATCTGACAGAGTCCATAGTTCCTGGCTCAAGATCGACCAAAATTGCACGTGGTACATATTTGCCTCCTGAAAACCAAAAATATTTCAGATGTTTAATACTCATCTGTAATATAGTTAAAAACATAACACATATACAATGTATCAACAAGATATTATTTTAGCAGAATATATTTTGTACATTACACTGAAGAAAATTTGCACAGGCCAAGTGAAGATTTTACAATATTTACACTAACGTGTGGTTAAAAAATCAAATACTGTAGCTATAATAGTTAATACACAAGGACACAACATTAATTACTTTCCTTTTGTCACTTAAGAAACTAAATCAATCATTGAAACAATAAGGTTTTTTTTTTGTTATTGTGATAGGAGTGAATTATTCACTGAATATATAATATATTTTCAATATATATAATGTTTTGTAATTTCATTTTTGAACTTAGAGAAATGGATTTATATAATAAGAGCACTTTTGTATCTTCCTCCAGGTAAGCAACCAGATTAAAATTTAATTTTAAATGTGCATGTTTCTATCATATCAATTTCTGAATAACTTGCATATTTGTATTTATTCTTGTAGTTATACATGACAAATTTGTTCATGAAATATGGTCCAAGGGAGGTAACCACTAAGATTTTTTTTTTTATTTTGGTGTTTGATGAAACTTTAAATGATAACTTTAGCTTCAATAAAAATATTTGATTTAATTTCATTGTCAGAAATAAATAATGAAAAATTTTATATTATAATGTATAATTCTATTCCAATAACTTATCAATATTCAGGTCAACACTGTAGTAAAAAATCAGTGTTTAAAAGTTATTAATTTGACATAACACCTCTTGCTATTTACACACCTGTGGCTTCATTGTAGTATACATTTATTCTTTCTAATTGCAGATCTGAATCACCATGGTATGTTCCTGTGGGGTCGATTCCGTGTTCGTCTGAGATGACTTCCCAGAACTGAAAGTAAATAATGTACATGTACATCAATGTATAGAATACATGTGTAGAAACATTTGTCGATCCTTCAGAAAAGCATAGTTAAATTTTTTTTAAGAAAAATTAAGTTTGGAATTCGTCCAGACAAACCTCATTAACATGTCATACTATAGACTAGACAACTTGAAAGATTTATAAAAATCAATACCAACTTAAAATATAAATAATAAGGCAACATTTTGAAAATTTTCAAAAGAATAATAAAATAAATTCTGAATATTGAATGTGTTAATGTAGTTGGTCAATTTTGTCTCGAATAAATATTGGAATATACTTAGTATGTCTTGAATCAGAATGCGCAACGCGTGAAAGTAATTTTGCGCATTATATTTCACTTTTCTCAGCAATAAAGATATGAATAAAAAGACTTACTTTAGCACCAATCTGGTTTCCACACTGTCCAGCCTGAATGTGTACGATTTCCCTCATTTTGATTTAATTTGTTTGTAATGTGTGTCCTTTGCTGGAACTTTGAATTCTACTTGCCTACGGTTGAACCGGGCGCGCGCAAGATTTATACCAAAGCCGATGCACAACCTGAATAATTCCGATCGAATTAAAAGTTCGATTGGTTAATTATTTTTTGAGGACTATTTTAATTTTAAACAATGGCTCTATTTCTTTAAAATAGCTGAAATATAGTAACTTTCAATTAAGATATTTATTTTAAAGTTGTGTAGAAGCAATTGATTGATACATAATGGATCTAAACCGAAGAATAAATAAAATAGAAAAATTCGGTGCGGAAGAATCGGTGAAAGTTGTAATTCATGGTTGTCAAGATAACAATAAACTTTACGTCATAATCTACTGTATGAATGAGAGTGAGAACATGGGTATCAACAACAAATCTCCTTTAGTTAAACGGTAAAAACGGATTATATTGAAAATTGAAAACGCAAACCTATTTGCCAAAAAAAAAACCTCATCAAAACAGTAGATCTTAAGACACGGGATCGAAGGCACATTTCCTAAATCTCGCTATTTTTGTAAATTTTCCATTCCAACTTTTTCCCAGATCCCACTTTTTACTCCCTAAATCCCACATCCCCAATTTTTATCCCTTAAATTCCAAGCGTGTCACCCCTTCATTGTGGGACCTACCTTATTAGTATTATACGCTCGTTTACGGGACGTATTATGGTATACCGTTGTCCATCCGTCCGTCCGTCCGTCCATTCGTCTGTCTGTCCGTCCGTCCGTCCATTCGTCTGTCTGTCCGTCCGTCCGTCCATTCGTCTGTCTGTCCGTCCGTCGTCAACATGTCCGACAATAACTCAAAAACGCTTTCACCAATTTGCATGAAATTTTGGTGAATTGTTTATATATATTGATTTGAGCTCCCTTTCGATTTTTATGAATTTTAGATTTTACGTTTCCGAGTATTGGGGTTTTATTCATTAAAAAAGGGGGATTTTCCAGTTTTCGGACTATAACTCAAAAATGCTTTGAGCAGTTTTCATGAAACTTTGGTGAATTGCTTATATCTATTGACGTGAGCTCCTTTTCGATTTTTATAAATTTTAGATTTTACGTTTCAGAGTAATTTGATTTTATTCATAAAAAAGGATTGATTTTCCTGTTTTTCGGACAATAACTAAAAAAATTATAAATTTCTGATATGACATTGAGGAGTTATGGATTTTTATTCTTTGAAAAAGCGACGGGCGTATCATGCGCTCATGGCGCAGCTCTTTATTTAAAATGATACATGAAGTTGAAGTTTGATTTTTTATTATAAATATGATAATGATAATAATAAAAGAAAACTAAACAGAAAATATTTAATTTTTAGTGACACGTGACGGCCCGTCTTTGTTAGCTTACTTTAACCCCGGGAGGGGAACATCACAACCCGGCTTGTTTTGTGGTAGGGGTGAGCAGCTTAAACATCCACAATCTCGCCTTTTCATATATTTTGAATAACAAAAATACATACCCCATCATATATTTTTCGCAAAACAAATGCCTGAAGCTATCAATATTACGCTATTACATGGAGAGATAAACAGTTTTGACAAATAACATGGTTTTTATTGCATCGGTGAAAAAAAAATCGACACTGATACGTTTAAATTTAGATACTTATGATTTAATCAGCAACCTTGTCATATTTTATCCTTCATTTCTCGACTTTATCATATATATCATGAAGCAGAAAAGTGATCTAGCTATTACATGTCCCTACCACTTATTACATTATTAAGCTCCCCCTGTCCCCCACCCGACCGAGACTTTAACCGTTCGTTCAGTCTTCCAGGATCGAAAAGTAGCCGCCCTACCGTGAGTAGAGTTATAGTAACTCCTGTCCGCATTACTACTTTGAATGTTCGTTAGTGTATCAATTAAAGTAAACAATGATAAACATGCTTTGTTAAATGATTTATTTCATTTCGGTTAATTTTCGTTTCTTGCTTTATAGATATTCGGATAAAATTCGTTATTTTTATTTAAAGAGGGAAGTTAGTATGTCCTCATTTTTGTTTGATAAAAGATTTATTTGCATGTACGAGTGTGTAAGATATTCATTAGATAGCCGACGTTATAAATAATGGAAATAACTAATCAATTTTGCCCCATTCGAATCAAAAGGGCGGAATCGTAACCTTGACGATATCTGAGGCTACTATATAGAAGTCTCAGCCGATAGCCAATATTTTTTTTAACATATTTTAAATATTCCGAAAAATATTCTTAAAAAATAGCATATCACTAGGTTGTACGAAGGTCCCCCTTATCCGAAAAAGATAGACACATCTCATGTCCCAGAAATGTATGAGTACTCAGCGGCAAATATATCATATCCCAACAGTAAAACTGAGCGAATATCCTAAACCATAAATCGCTAAAAGAAAGTTCATGATGTTTTGGGAAAAAATATCCATCAATCCATATAAAAAATCCGACCTGAGTAAGAATGATAAATGCTTATTTGTTAAATTTCGATATCGCCCCAAAAATGCCATCGTATGTAAGTTTACTTATGTAGAGACAAATTCGAATAAATGAGATCCTTGCACTTTATATAAATACAAATGGAGTCTATACTTTTATTTTATCATGATTGTGTATGAGAAAACAATCGACCAATAAATATACCCAAAAAAAATAACCAAGGGATGGTTGCTTATCGTTTTTATGATGCAAATTTACAAATGAATTAGTGATCATATAGGGTGTGATAAAAAAACATCATGGAGTAAAGGAATGGTCTTTATTACCAGTACTGTATGTTGAGTCAAAACATTTTATTAAAATAAAAAAATGGGATCTTCATAGGCGTAAGACCACGATCTAATTCGTTTATCATTTCCAAGTATCACCAGATTTAAAGATGGGGTCGTAAGCACAATTACCCTTTGGTCATGGGATCATTGAATCTTTTTGTTTCTTTATTGAAACCCAACAACACATGTAAATACACAGTTTGAAATCGATGATTAAAATTTGATTAAGTTGAACTTTAATTGTAAATCGATTTATTCTCTCAGAACATTGTAGGACCACAATATAACTTCAAATTATACATATATGTAAACGTGGGAAGCATGTCTGATCGTAAGCCTAAAGTTCTAAATTGTTTACCACACGTTCCCGCTTAAACATCCATAAACGAAAATAAATTATAATCACATTACTTATTTATGAATAATACCGTTATTTAATCAGTAAGATAATTATATCGATAATCAAATAATCCGTCAAGATTATCTTAATTATATGAATTAACAACTAGATTGAACACGATTTGTTTTTATCAGGACGGAACAACCATGGTGATACAAGTTCTTAGTTGACTTTACAAATACTCGTTCTTTGAACTACGGGCAAATGAAAAATACACATTACCATCGGGAGCGGATCCAGGATTTTTAAAAAGTGAGAGGGGGCGTAATTCCCGAAAATTGATTAGAGACCGCCGAGCGAGCGAGTCGATTTAAAAAAAATAATTTTAAAGATGATTTCATAGCTATAAATCGAGAGTTAAATGATGGGGGGGGGGGTGAAAACTAGCATAACTATTTCTTGTGCTATTATATATATATATGTGTGTAAAAATGTCGCTCGTCGATAATCTTATCAGTTCTTACTGGAATGTCACGGAAGCATAGATAATTGGGACAGTTCTCGGGTCCTAACTTCAGAACGAAAATTTTAATAATAAATTAAGAATTTGAAAAAAATCACTAGGCAAAAAAGAAAAGAAAAAAAACTTCCGGTCTGTGTTTTTGTTAGATGTGTTTCTGCTTTGTATCGATCTGATAAGTTGAGCCCTTTTCAACTGATTTTTATAGTTTGTTCTTATATTGTACTGTTACACCACTGTCTGTCCCTTATTATGATAGGGTTTGGCGCCAACAAACTAGTTTAACCCCACCACATTCTGTATATGCCTGCCCCAAGTCAGGAGCCTGTAATTCAGTGGTTGTCGTTTGTTGCTGTATATCATATTTGTTTGTCGTTCATTATTTGTACATAAATCAGGCCATTACTTTTCTCGTTTGAATTGTTTTACATTTATTTCGGGGACTTTTATAGGTAACTATGCGGTGTGGGTTTTGCTCATTGTTGAAGACCATACTTTGACCTGCAGTTGTAATCTTCTATGTCATTTGGTCTCTGGTCGAGAGTTGTATCTCATTGGCCTTCATACAACATCTTCTTGTTTTTATATTTTTTTGTTTAAATGAGTTTTATAAAATATTAAATTACTTTAGTCTTTATTGAAAATAATGCACTGTTATACCCCAATGGAGTTGATGGCAATACATTACTGACGAGTACGTTAATATTGTGTGTGTAGGAAATGCAAATTAACTGAGGAAAAAAGTTTTATTATCAGGCAATGCAGTGTCCGTAGTTTAACTAAAATTCGCCGTGCACGCACTGTATGATTCACACTTTGGTGTTTCGATCTTTACAATTATAATATAAAGATAACTGTCAGTACTTAGTCAACATTGTACAAAGCCAGACTACTCTTTTCGGGACAATTTTACGTTGTATATACATACACAAACAAAACCGTCGGAAACAAATAACAAATAGTTCTTTTAAAACTGTTTGACAGTCATAATGCCTCGTTGGATATTTTGTTATTTACAAATAGAGTTTTTAAGATATCTGATATCTGTTGTCGATATTTCAAAGATACAAGTACCCTCTCAAAAGATAAATATATATATAGTTAAACCTTCCCTGTTGTTTAAGCGAAATGTTAGCCCATTTTTTAAACATCTTTTTAAAATGGGCGAGGTTCACAACAAAATAGTAGAAGCTGTGCGTACTAAAATTTATACACAATGAACTAATAACTCACAATACTTCACATTGGTCTGTAGCCCAGTCTATAAATTGAAATTGCTACTGAAATTCAAAATGTCAACATCTCTATTAGATCTTTACTTTTTTTTTATACATAATGTACAACATATGAAAATTAAGATGAAATGCAGATAGGTCTGTGTGCTTGTTTGTTTTTCTAGATACAAGCCGGCATTTGAAAAAATGTAATTTGCATCGAGAAAAAGATGCTT